AATTGGATTCTTCATTAGATCTCATACCTATGACTCAAGCCATAAATCCTGTATCTACACAATGGAAACTCATACATACTCAATCATGTTAACAAAATTCATGATCTTAAACGTAGAAGGATTTCTTCATCATTTTTTTTGCTTTCAGTAGATCAGATTATGGGTTCAATTTTTAATGTATCTAGTTGTTTTTGTTTCTTAAATTAATATATAATGCCTTCGTTTCATCATTATGAAACATTACAATTTTATCAAGAGTTGTTGGGTGAAAAAAAGCTACAAGAATTGATACATAGCAAATGACAAAATGTGGAAGGATTTCTTCATCAATTTTTCTTTTTGCTTTTAGCATATCAAATTGTTGATTTTTTTTGTTGCTTTATCTTTTAATGTATCTAGATGAATTCATTCGTTTCACATTTATGATACATTACAATTTTATCATGTAACTTATCTAAGCAAATATTAGTTTTGATACATAACCCTAATTTATTGAAATACAAATTAATATGTATCATGTTCATAGTTACGCATTGGATACACAACTATTACAAATTTCATTATCTTTTACTACGCCAACCTTATTCAATTAGAAGACTATGTATCTGTAGACACTATCAAATATTACCATTGATACATATAAACACTAATGTTTTATAACAAAATTAGTTTATATCATATTCATAGTTATGTATATGACACATACCTTTGTTATGTATATAACATAGTTATGTATCAGATATTGTTTTGTATCACATGTTGTCGACTTTTATTTTATTCTGTTACGATTTGGGAGAGGTTTGAGAGAAGAAATTTTGAAATTTGAATTGTTTGGACCTGTTATTTGAGAGAGATTGACATCAATTTGGTTTGCATGATTTGAGGAACTAACATTAATTATATATATATATATTTTTTTTAATCTCAACAAACTAGTTGTATAATGTATCAAATGTGATGTATCCAGAAGAATGAGATGTATCTGAATGACAACAATTTTAGGAGATTTTTGTAAATTGGAAAAGAGTAGGGATAAGATGTAGTTTTCTCCTTACACGATGAAATTCTTAAATTTTCGCCTTATATAAGCCCAAGTATAATTTCTATCCACCTGGATCAAAACTTGGGCCTTCAGCTACTGATTGGGCTTTTGGCCCATTTTCATAGTGTATACACGAAATGTATATCGAGTGTATATCATCTACATATTCTGTATATTGTATGTATATAGGCTCGTATATCATCTTTGTTTCCTATATATATGATTCCCTTTCATGGATTGATATCAGTTTATTTTTCTCGAATAAGAATGATGTTGACTTTGAGAATGTTGGGCCCAAACCCAACAAAGAAAATGCAACTGATAGAGACTTGAGTCCAAATAGCATTTCAAAACTGTTAAGAATCTGCTTTTGAACTACAGTAAATTTAATTTTACTGCCTATGTTTTAAGTAAGACTTAGTCAATTAGTTGTTAGACATGCTTTCCTATTTTTTAGGAGTTGTTAAATGAACTGCTAGATTGTGTGTTATTATTTCTTTACTTTTCATTCTAGGCTCTTATATATCTAATCTGAAGTATTAATAAAATTCTACTTCTTCAACTTCTATTCTTTTTCTCTCGCTCTCGTCTTTTTTGTTTTACGCACAATCTTTGATTTCCCTTTGTATTATTTAGCTTAAACAGATTTTTAAAACCTTCAATTGGTATTAGAGCTTTATTTCTTAAGGGACCTGTGTGTGTGGGCGCCAATTAGATTTCATGAATACCATGAACGAAGAAGCAAGTTTTGCTTCAATGGCACCACCAACTTTTGGTGGAGAAAGTTATCGAATCTGGGCTGTTAGAATGCAGGCATATCTGGAAGCTTTGCATCTCTGGGAGGCTGTAGAAGATGAATACATCATAGCTCCCTTGCCAAACAATCCCACGATGGCGCAAATTTAAAATCACCAGGAAAGGAAAATTAGGAAATCAAAGGCAAAGGCATGTTTATTTGCTGCAGTTTCATCCACTGTCTTGACTCGTATCATGTCTCTGAAGTCGGCAAAAGAGGTATGGGATTATTTTAAGACTGAGTATGAAGGAGATGAGAGAATTCGAGGGATGCAAGTGCTGAATTTGGTGTGTGAGTTTGAGCGGCAAAAGAAGAAGGACAGTGAAACCATAAAGGAATACACTAACCGACTTCTTAACATGCCAATCACGTCAGATTGTTGGGTTCCACTTTTAACGATTCAAGGATCGTTGAGAAAATCCTTATAACAGTACACGAAAGATTTGAGGCGACCATTACAACCTTAGAAAATACTAAGGACTTGTCTAATATTACACTAACAGAGCTCTTATGTTCCTTTCAAGCACAAGAGCAATGATGTGTTATGAGACAAGAAGGAGCTGTTGAAGCAGCTTTACCTGCCAAGCATCATGATGAAGGACAATATAAGAAAAAAAAGAACAAGAAGTACCAACCAACAGATGGAGAAGGTGCAGCACGCAACAACAAAAACAAAACAGGTAGCTTCAAAGGAAACTACCCTCCTTGTAAGCATTGCGGCAAGATCGGACACGCACCTTTCAAGTGTTGGAGAAGACCTGAAGCTAAGTGCAGTAAGTGCAATCAGTTTGGGCATGAAGCAATCATTTGTAAGAACAAAACTCAGCAGTAGGATGTAGATGCTCGAGTTGTAAATGAACAGGAGGAGGATCAACTATTTGTTGCATCATGTTTTGCAAGCAATGTTTCTAGCGAGTCGTGGTTGATTGATAGTGGATGCACAAATCACATGACTCATGATAAAGAACTCTTCAAATAATTAGATCCTACTCTAGTTGTAAATGTTCGAATAGGCCATGGTGGTCACATTCCAGTAAAAGGAATGGGAACTATTGCAGTTGAGACACAAGCAGGTACAAAACAATAACAGATGTTCTTTATGTACCAGACTTAGACCGAAACTTGTTAAGTGTTGGTCAATTGTTGGAAAAAGGTTTCAAACTTTATTTTGAAGATAAATATTGCTTGATCAAGGATCCCTCGGGGGCAGGACTTGTTTAAAGTCAAAATGAGAGGAAAAAGTTTCTCATTAGATCCATTTGAGGAAGAGCAGATGTTGTATTCAGCAAAGAAAATGTCGCTGAGTTATGGCATAAGAGACTCGGGCACTATCATTATCAAGGACTTGTCAAGATTCAAAAGTTGAAGATGGTGGAGAGCTTACCTGATCTGGAAGCAAATTCCACTGAATGTCATGCTTGCCAATTTGGTAAGCAACACAGAAAGCCATTTCCAAAATCAACCTGGAGAGCCTCACAAAAGCTACAACTAGTTCACACTGATGTCACATGGCCTCAAAGAACTCATTCACTACAAGGTAGCATCTATTACGTTCTTTTCATTGACGATTTTGCAAGAATGTGTTGGATTTTTTTATTGAAATTCAAGTCAGAAGTTGCTGGTGTATTCTGGAGATTTAAGAAATTGGTGGAAAATCAAAGTAATTGTAAGATTCAAGCTTTGAGGTATGATAATGGGAAGGAATACGCTTCAACGAAATTTGATTCATTCTGTGAGGAGGCCGGCATTGTGCATCAGCTTACAACACCATACACACCAGAACAAAATGGTGTTAGTGAAAGAAGAAATAGATGGATAATGGAGATGGCCAGATGTATGTTGCATGAGAAGGAGTTGCCTAAGATATTTTGGGCAGTGCCAGCAAATACCGCAGTTTTTATGCAGAATCGACTTCCAACGAAAGCTTTGAAGGATAAAACACCATTTGAAGCTTGGTACGGGTTTAAGCCTTCACTAAGTTTTCTTAAAGTGTTTGGTTGTGTCTGTTTTGTTCATGTTCCTCAGGTTAAATGTGACAAACTTGACAAGAAGGCAATCATAGGCATCCATGTGGGTTACAGTGGAGTTTCTAAAGCCTACAAGGTCTATCATCCTCAAATAGGAAAGATGACAATTACAAGAGATGTTCATTTTAGTGAGAATGAACAGTGGGACTGGAAGAACTCTCGAAAATCAGGAAAACGTTCTCTAGAAGCAAACATCAGCCCTCCTGAAGAGCAAAAAATAAAACACTGGCAGCAAGAACAAGAAGATGATCATCCAGTCAAGGGGAGAAAATTGTTGTCAGATATCTATCAGAGGTGTAATGTCGCCATCTATGAACCTGCTGGTCCCGTAAAAGCTTTTCAAGACCCAAAATGGAAGAAAATAATGGAGACCATCTATGAACCTGAGACCCAAAATGGAAGAAAGCAATGGAGGAGGAGATCTTCATGATTGAGAAAAATAAAACTTGGGTGCTGGTCGACAAACCTGAAGATAGAAAAGTCATTGGTGTGAGATGGGTCTTCAGAACAAAGTTAAATGCAGATAGTTCCATCAACAAATACAAGGTTAGGCTTGTAGTTAAATGGTACGCACAAATTTATGGTGTTGATTACTCTGGCACTTTTTCTCCTGTTGCAAGATTAGACACAATCAGATTGCTACTGGCAATAGCAGCACAAATGGAATGGAAGGTGTTCCAACTCGATGTCAAATCAGCCTTCTTAAATGGCATACTGGAGGAGGAAATATATGTTGAGCAACCATCAGTATTTGTGAAACACGGTGATGAACACAAAGTCTATCTTCAAAAAAAAGGCTCTGTATGGCCTAAAGCAAGCACCAAGAGCTTGATATAGTAGGATAAATGATCATCTGTTAAGCTTGGGCTTTGAAAAAAGCTTATCTGAATCCACTTTGTATGTAAAACATAAAGACACTAATATCCTTATTATGTCACTTTATGTTGATGATCTTATGGTAACAAGAAATAATACAAGGCTGGTTGAGGAGTTTAAAGAAGAAATGATGCAAGTTTTTGAAATGACAGATCTTGGTCTTATGACCTATTTTCTTGGAATGGAGATCAAGCCAAGCAAAAGTGAAGTGTTCATTTGCTAGAAGAAATACGCAAAGGAAATTCTGAAGAAATTTCAAATGGAGGAATGCAAGTCGATGAGCACACCGATGAATCAAAAAGAGAAGCTCTGTAAAGAAGATGGAGCTGACAAAGTTGATGAAGGTTATTATAAAAGCTTGATTGGATGCTTAATGTATCTCACTGCAACAAGGCCTGATATTTTATTTGTTGTAAGTCTCTTATCTCGTTTTATGCACTGTGCAAGTGAAATGTATTTAAGAGCAGCAAAGAGAATATTAAGATATATCAAAGGTACTATTGACTATGGTGTAAAGTTTGAGAAGTGTCCAAGCTTCAAGTTACTTGGATTCTCAGATAGTGATTGGGCTGGATCCGCAGATGATATGAGAAGTACCTCTGGCCATTGTTTCAGCCTAGGTCAGGAATATTCTTATGGTCATCTAAGAAACAGGAAATTGTTGCACAATCAACTGCAGAAGCTGAATTCATAGCAACAACATGAGCAGTAAACCAAGTCTTATGGCTTAGAAAGATCATGTATGATTTACATTTGGAACAGAAGGAAAGTACTATCATTCTTGTCGACAACCAGGCAGCTAGTGCAATCTCAAACAATCCGGTGTTTCACAAGAAGACCAAGCATTTCAACATCAAGTTCTATTTCCTGAGAGAAGTGCAGCAAATGGGAGAAGTGACTCTAGTCTACTGCAAGTCTGAAAACCAACTAGCAGATCTGTTTACTAAGCCTTTACCGATCAACAAATTCGAGCTTCTTAGATAGAAAATTGGAGTTTGCAGTATCCAAAGCAAGGAGGAGTGTTGGGAATCTGCTTTTGAACTGCAGTAAATTTAATTTTACTGCCTATGTTTTAAGTAAGACTTAGTCAATTAGTTGTTAGTCATGCTTTCCTATTTTTTAGGAGTTGTTAAGTGAACTGCTAGATCGTGTGTCATTATTTTTTTGCTTTTCATTCTAGGCTCTTATATATCTAATCTGAAGTATTAATAAAATTCTACTTCTTCAGCTTCTATTCTTTTTCTCTCGCTCTCGTCTTTTTTGTTTTACGCACAGTCTTTGATTTCCCTTTGTATTATTTAGCTTAAATAGATTTTAAAAACCTTCAAAAACAAAAGAAAAAGAGCACAAATTAGCATGCTAAGACTTTTATAATAGAGAAAGGAATAAGCTTAAATGTAACTAACTCATGCAACTAGTAGGTCTTAATCATTTACATAGATCTAAAGAAACTATAAAATGAAACTCACATCTAAGGATAAATAATCATATTAATCCTAAATTGATCAAAGCCAACTCAAGCTATGTATTATACTAAGAAACCATTTAATGCACAACTTAAAAAACACAAATGAGAATTATTATTTTACTTGTCATGAATAAAATATATTCATTGAATCCATAAAGTACGGTTCACAGTATTCAAACAGCATATGGAAACGAAATAAACTTAATTAATAGCTACTACTATTCTTTCAATTAATGCATATCAAAATGGTGGATGAATACTTAGAATTTAAAGCTTAATGACAAATCAACATTAAACTAACTGATGCATCAAACATGCAGAAGTCAAGAGAAAGCTAATACGACCCAAAAAGTTTGAATCTTAAGAAATCGAGATTAAAGGAATTGAGGTTCAAAATGAAAATAAAATACGGAAATGAAGCTAGAATTAGTATTAGAAAGTGGGAAGGAAGAGGATTCTCTTTCAACAATGGCTTTTTAAGGAAATAAAGAATATTAATGGAATTTTACACCAGCTATGGTCACAAAAGCGGTCAAAACACAGCTTAAGCAGTAAAGCCCCAGATGGCCTACCACCGCTAAAGCGGCATGGGTGTTGCTAAACCAGTCATACCAACATCTTTGGCATCAACCAAAAGCTAAGGTGAAACATTCTCAAAACGGGTCCTCGGAATTCATTCGGAACCCCATAAATGCAAACGAACTATGTTATCCTACCAAACATGACATTTCTTAAAAGGTAGACTTATTACTGAAAAATTATATTGCTTACTCAAGAAATTTTTTAGGGCATAAAGATTAAGAACCTAGGTGGCAATGTGGTGCTTAATCATGACATGACTAAAGCTTATCATAGAATGTCATGGTCTTTCATTTGTGTAGTTTATAGGAAATTTGATTTTAGTACGGATGTTATTAATTTGTTCATGGGTACCATTGATAATGTCCGGTATTCAATCATCATAAATGGAGCTAGAAATGGTTTCTTCACATCCTCCCAAGGCCTAAAACAAGGTGATCCTCTCTGTAACACCCCAAATTTTTTTAAGCTAAGGTCTGAATTATTCTTTATTTGTGTGTAAGATTGTATCAAGTGATTCCTAATTTTTTCTTATGTTTTAAGGTCATTTATTTAGTGTGGGAATGAATTTGGATATGAATTAAGGTCACCAGAATCCCTTAGCACAAAGTTGAGTTGAAAACTTCCTTACCGATTAAGTTTTGATATAAGATTCTACTTAGATCAACTACAAATGATCATATCTCTCATTAAATAATGAATTTTTTGGCCCGTGACCTATTAAATTAAAGTTCTATGACTCCTCTTTCCAACGCCACCAAGCTTGCCTCATTTTGAGTTTGTTGTAAGAAGTTATGACCATTTTATGAGAGACTACCACAACATGATTTTATGAGTCATTGACTCCCTTCTACTAGTTTTAGAAAGAGTTACGACCCGGACGGTTTACTCGTGGAAAAAGTATTGAGATTCAAATTTTAGGGTCCAATTCATACGGACCCATCTACAGGTCGTAGAAATTTCTACGGGTCATACTTTGAGACCATAGAATAAACTTCTGAGCCTTAAAATGTCAGTATGAATTCCACGGATAGATCAAACCACAAACAGTAGATGGAGCCGTGGTAGGTTTTTGATAGATTTTTAAGAAAGACAGTTCAATCTTTTTCCGCCCCTTCTAATCCTAAACCCCAACATTTTTATACCAACCATATTACTCTCATTAACACTTCCAAGTCTTAGAGAAAGGATCCAAGAGGAGAAAACTAGGATTCTCAAGCGTTCTTTCAGTTTGGCCAAGAACTTTAATCTTTCAGGTATGTAAGGCTAATTATAGTGATGGACTGAGTTCTTTCTCACACCGTACATCTAAATTCAATTTGTAAAAGTTTAATATAGTGTAATACCCTTAGTTTCGAGAATTTCTGAGATAAGTTATATTATTGATTATGAGTTCTAAGTTCTTAATTATAAGTTGTTATATATTATGCATTGAGATCTTTGAGTTGGTGTTCATGTTTATATTCCCACATGAACTCCATTTCCTAAGTATTCATTGAGAATCTTTTGATCAAATATTTTTTCTTAAATTGATTTTGAGAAGTTAAAAGTGAGTTCAAGAGAAAAATTTAAAGTATAATTCTTTTAGTAGAGTTAAAGGGAACTAAATGATTCTCAAATTTATCATTTTTACATGGAGAAAGAGAGCACTAATTTCAGAAAAGTATAACAGTTTTTCAGAAAGAGTTAATACAGAGCAATTACCTCTTCAAGAGGTCCTTTTGAGAACTTATATTAACTCATATAGAATATTTTTACTTGAGTATTGAGCTAAATATTTTAGGAGTAGTATTGAACACTGATATGAAGAAGAGTTCAGACAACTCACATTCCCCATAAATTACATAGCTAGTGTGGGTTAGGATCACACCAACTTTCATGCGAATCCTTACTGCCTTTGACCAGAACTTTATAGTGGATCCATGAGTTGAGTTTGTTCTATACCCCGGCAAGGTATATGACAGTTCTAGCAGTGTGGGCGAGACATTGTATCATCACAAGTCTCATAGTGATGGTTGTCGGTTATAAAAACTCTCAAATAGAGTAAAAAGTATCTTTTTTTTTATACTTATATTAGGGTAAAAAGTATCTTTTTTATTATACTCATATATACTGTTCAGTGAGTTAGCATATTTTATGCTATAAAGTTTTAAATTATCTTATCTCTATTTATGTTTTACATCCAATTGAGTACTGTTTCAGCCTTTTCAGTTCATCTACTGTTCTTTCGGCTATATTACATACTCATACATTCAATGTACTAATGTCATTCGACCTGCATCATTTTATGATGCAGATATAGGTGTTCAAAATCATCAACATGCGCTTCATTGATATCACTTTGCACTCATTGAAAACTTTTGGTGAGACCTCCTTACTCCCGGAGGACTCCATTTTTATTTCCAGTTTAGTTGTTTGGCGTGTCGTGGGTCTTGACCTGACATCATCTTGAACAATAGAGGCTTCATAGATAGATAGTATTGAAAGTCTTTTAGCATTTCTTTTGAGATGTTTTGCAAACTCTTACTGCTTTCATTCAGTATATTTCAGACAGTTTAAATTGAGTATTTTGAGAGAAGTGAGTTATTTAATCTTTTAAAGCCTGTATTTGCTTGAGTCGGTCTTTTGTTAAGTAGTCAGTCAGGCCAAGGGTTAGCTTGGGGACCAACAATGGTTCTCGAGTGTCGACCACTTTCAGGGTATAGGTTTGGGGCGTGACACTCTCTCTCCCTCTCTATTAATTATTGGAGTTGAAGTGTTAGCTAGATTACTTAATAATTTTATTGGCAATGACCAGTTCTTATCCTTTTCAATGTCTCACATAAAACCTACTATCAATCACCTCTCATATGCTGATAATATTGTCATGTTTACTAGCGGGAGCACCAAATCCATTAAAATGGTAATGAAGCAAATTTACATGTATGTAAAAAGTTCAGGGGAAAAAATGAATTCTAAGTGTTTTTTTCTCACTGATGCAGGTACAGGCCCCACTAGAATAAACAAGATCAAAAGTGTCATTGGTCTTCTCAACAGAGATTTCCTTTTTGATTACCTGGGTTGTCCAGTTTATATTGATAGGAAAAAAATGAATATATATATATTGAGAAAATACTCTTTAGAGTGATTAAAAGATTGTGTGAATGGTAAAGTGACATGCTATCATATGGTGAAAAAATAATCTTAGTTAAACATGTACTTTAGTCACTCTCTATCTATACTATCACTACGCTTACTCCTCCACAAGGTATCATAAAACTCATGGAGAAACATTTTGCTATATTCTTTTAGGGTTCTTCTACTAATATGCAAAGAAATGGTGGAGGTTTAGAGTGCAAGCCTCACTATGGTCCAAGTTCACTAAAGCAAAATATTGTATGATTGCTCACCCTATTTCAAAAATTTAAGTCTCGCAAATTCCCCATGTGGAAAGATCTTACCTGAATTAGAAGCACAGTTGAACCCAACATGATTTGGAATATATACAAAGAAAATACTAGTTTTTGGTGCGACAATTAGACTGGCCTAGGTCCATTAACTAAATATTTGCTTGAATAGGGACACTCTATCAACATTAAAGTGAATCATTTCTGCAACAATCGGCAATGAGATTTTCACACCCTAAGCCTATATCCTAGGCGTGGCCA